CGCTTCAAAGTGCTGGTTCTTACCTTTAAAGCCCTAAATGGCCGGGGTCCGGTGGTGGCTCCTACCTGGTGGAACGAGCTCCGGGCCCTGCGGGACCTTGTGCAGTTCGGCAGGGCCTGCAAGATGGAGCTCTTCCACCAGGCTTTTGAGTAGGAGCCACAGCCACCACTATTCCACCATCGTGGTATTGCTCCATCGTCTGCCCCTATTATGGGAGGTATGCATCGCCTGGCAGAGGCGCGTAGAACATCGTCACTGGAGACCATGGTATTGAGACAGCTGGCCGCCGAATTGGGATTATTGTTCCCATCTTGGGTGATTTACATATAGGATGACATCAGAGCACCTTAAATATTGTATGGGTTTTATTGTGGTTGTTTTAACGCTGTTTGTATTGTATTTTATCTATTTAATCCGGCTTTCACTGTATGTTAGCCGCCCTGAGCCGTTTGGAAGGGCGGGATATAAATCTAAAAATAAATATAAATAATCAAATATATGGTCTGCACTAATAATTCAGTAGTCGTGTTGAGAATGGACTTGGATCTAATGTGCAAACACTCGTTTTTAAAAAAAACATGAGAAGTTGTTGAAAAAGCAAGTACCGGGGGGGGGGGGGGGATATGTGTATTTGTGGCCGAACAAACTGCAGTCTGTTTGCCGCGTTGGTTCCTTCTTTGCACACTGCCTGCCTGTCCTGCTCTTGGTCTGTAACACATGTAGCCTCTCAGCACATTGTGTTTTAGTGAACAGATGAAGTGCTTACACATTCATAGACTGAGACGCCACAAATTCAGTTGGGTTCTCTTGTAGCTCTAAGCAGATTTCTGCCCTTTGAGCCATGACATTCCCGGCTGGGGTTCTGAATGCTGATGGCATGGCCTTTTATTATTAATCAGAATTCACATGAATTAATTTGTTAGAAGCAGGAGAGGGAGTTTCAAGGTTGGAAACTTTGCATCCTAGATGAAGTGAACTGAAACATCTGTGCGCTTCTTAAGAGAATCTGCAGTATAACACTGTTAGGACTATTGGTGTGGCTGGAGCCCACAGGTCATTAGCCTAATAAGATAAACTGTATAAACTGCAGGTCCAGCAATGACATAAGATCAGCTTTACGGTTGTGTTGCCATTTCTGGCTACTGCTAGAGGCATGCCAGCTTCTGGCACAGGCGCTTCAGGAAAGCTGAGGTCCTCTCCAGGTAACAGACTTCCCTCTATGCCTAATGCTAATCCAAGATGAAATATTGGGTCCCATCCATAGCCCTTTGGCTTTATCACCTATTGAGCCAGGAGACACCCCCTCCCCCCAGCCAGG